AGGGACAGGATCTGCCTTCCCTGGGCTGGGGCTCAGGCCTTGGCCTTTCTGCTGCCTCCAGCCAGCCCAGGCTCTGCTCAGCAGCTGAGCTGCCCACACAGAGCCTTTGCCTCCCTGCACTCCTGGCCTGGGCAGCCTTGGGCAGCAATGGCCCTGGGCCCTCCTTCATGCTCCCAGGGACTGCAGCTTCTTCCAAGCACTTGGGCTTTTGCCTTGGAGTCCCTGAGAGCTTTGTGCAACCATGGCCTCCAATTATCAGCTGGAATTAGTCCCTGGAGATTCTTTGTCAGTAACAACACTCAATGGGGATCATTAATGCTTCAAGCTAGTGCAGTTCTTTTAAGGTACTTTCCTTTCTCCTTCCCACACTGAGTCTTTGAGAGGTTTGTGCCATCCTGGCTTCCAATTCTCTCCTCCAACGAGTCCATGAGGGGTCTGTGTTGTGGATGGACCTCAGGGGACCCATTCATGCTTTGAGACACTTTGGGTTTTCCCTCGGACTTTGACTCCTGGTTAGGTTGGTGCAATCTCCTCTCAGGCCCTGAGCTTCCAGGGCTCAGCTCTAAATGCACCACGGGGCTCACTGGGATCAAGCAAGTCCTGACAAACCATGGCTATGCCCAGATCTCCCTCTGCTCTAGTGTAGTCCATTAGGAAGGTTTCCTACAATACTGATGGAAAACTATTTGCAAGAGCTTCCAATAAATCCACATTCCTCTTTGAAGAGTATATTTTATGATTGTTCTATTTAAAGCAGAGGTGGCTGCAGCATTCAGCGACTGATATTAGCCCAGGGACTCTCCTGAGGATGTCTGGCCTAGTCAGAGAAGCTGTGCCTTGAGGTCTGAGGCAGTGTGGACAACCTTGCTCCACATAGCCCAAGCCCGTCCTGTCTCTGCTCAGTCACCTGGGACCTGCTGTGCTTGGAGAAATGGCTGCGCTCAGGCAAAGAGGGGTTTTCTTCTTTTACTTTTTGAACCAAACTAAAACTCCTAAGCTTCCCCATTTAAAACAGACACACTCCTCAAGTGTGTGCAAGCCCTAGGCACCTCAAGGAGATTCTACTTTCCCAAGGCAGAGCCCTGCAAGGAATGCTGTAGACACACAGGAAGTTCTGCAATGAACACAAATCCAGAGTTGGCTCAGGGCAGAATGAGAGCAACTCCTGAAGGACAGACCAGCTTTGCACTCCTTGCAGCTCAAAGCTCCCAGTGGGTCCTTGGGAGGTGTGTGAGTGACTCAAGAGTGAGGGAAGGGAGAGGCAGAGAGCCCTGGAAGTGCTTCTGTGCAGACAGGCTGTGGGGAAGGGCACCGCACACCTGCCCTGGGCCGGCTGTGAGGGTGGATCATCATCCCAACCTGCACTGGCCATTGCAAGGGACTGCTGCCATGGACACTGCACCGACCCCACTGCGTCAGCCCATTGCTCAGGGCTGCTGTCACTGCCCAGAGCCAGAGGGGAGCCCTTGCTGTGGGTTTGTGCCGTGGCCGCCTGCCCTGTGCCGCGCGGGCCGGTCAGGTGCCGCGGAACCAGCAGCAAACACCAGGGCCAGGGCCAAGGCCGGGTCAGGCAGACAGAAAGGGGCAGTGCTGGGCACTGTTTGCATGGCAGCCCTCACTGGGACACCACACCTGGGTCACCTGGCCTGGCAGGTGCCATGGAAACCTCTGGCAGGGACTGATGGCACAGACCCTGGCACTGAGACGCTGCTGGGCCGGGTGCTGAGCACAGGGCTGGGCACACAGAGATGCTTTTGTTCTTGCTGAGCTCCCACTGAGCCAAAGCCTGGCCTGCCCCTCCTCTGGCCACGCTGGAGAGGGGCTGGGGCTGCGGGAGAGCTTGGGAGGGGACACGGCCAGGACAGGTGGCCCCCACTGACCCTGGGGATACCCCAGACCATAGGGCATCACACTCAGGGTATAAAGTGGGGGGAACAAGGAGGAAGGGGGGACATTTGGAGTGATGGCTTTTCTCTTCCCAGGTAACACATAGGCTGGAGGGGGCAGGGTCAGCACCAAAGACACAGACACCAAGTGAAAGAATTGTGTCATTTATATCATGCACAGCTGCAAAGAATTACAAAAGGATAAGCTCAGCAAAGCACATCATCATTAGCAAAGCATTACAAAAAAGCTCAGCAATGCATCCAGTCACTGCTACCAGAGATTGCCTGGAGTGATTAAGGAAAGATCCATCACCAGTTAGCCTCAGGCTTTACCATCATCCACAGCCACACATCAGCTGGGGGAAGCCAAGGACTGGAGAGCCACTCCCAGACACTGGGAATTCCTGCAGGTGCCTCCACCTCTGCAGCCAATGAAGCTCCAACCCCAAAGCTGTGAGAGGACCCAGCTTTTACACTGTTTAACAAACAAGCTGCATCACTGCTACTGCGAGAACATCTGCTTTCATTCTCCTGACTGCTTTCTCCCAAAGCCTGGCCAGGGCTGAAGGAGGAACCAAGGGAGTTGACTTTGATCCTTCACCCCCAAACAAGTCCAGATGTGGCCTTGACTGTTTCTAAATACAGAAAGATAGTCCATGTTTTATCAAGGAACACATACATTGATCATGTTGTTAATCATGCTTCGTTAATGAGTGGATACAAATACAACATTTGCTCGGAAGGTTCAATTAGAGGTGACCTTTGCCTCACAGCCTGTTCAGGCTTTGATCACAACCTGTTCAGGCCATGGTACTTTGATCGGTCCTGAGACCTACAATCAACTACAACCTTCGTAACAATTCTTTCAGTAACACAGCTTAGATTTAGGTATTAAGCATAAAGGCGTCTCCTCTTGTTCTACAATTAAGTGCAGTTTAAGTTCATTACTCAGAGCTATTCATGTTCCTTTTAAAACATACCTAAATTGTTGCCATTCTCCCTTATTTACCAAATGCCTCTCTTGTCTTGACACTGTATCTTTTAAGAAAGGTCTCAATACTCCACTTCCCAGCACAAAGTGTCCCAGCAACTCACCAAGTGCACACACTGCAATGATGATAGGCCCTGCCACGAATGCATTTCACAGCAGCCTCCAATTTGGCAGCCATGAAGCCAATCCCACCAAGAAGAATTTTCTTCTTTCTGCCACTCTTCTACTGCTCTTTCTGTCAAGGTGATTCCTGACTGTTGGCCTTCAAACCCATCACTGCTAGCAGTGCAACATCCCCATCCCCTGATAGCCCAGGTTCCTCCTTGGCCAGCAAGCAGATAATCCAAGGCCATGCAGTTCCCTGGAGGCCCCATTTGTGTTTGTTGGAGCTCATAAGATGTGACATTTTAACAGTACCATTTGCTAGCTCTTCTAATAATCCATTCAGCTCATTCATGTCAACTCCACGGGACAGGGCAGCGCACATGGGGCACAGGGTGAACCAGAATCTTTTGCTTTCTGAAACCAAAGGCACTCTTTGGGTGGAAAATGTTCTCTGGGCCCTAAGTCTTCTGTGTGCTTGTTGCTGAAGGAGCCTAAATGGTGGCCCTGCAGCTGGGAGTGGTGTGACACTGACACTGACCAGCTGCAGCACCCCAAGTTCTACTGGCATTGGTAGTGATGGTAAAGCACAGAAATCTTCTGACACTGTAGCCTCTAGAACTATAACAGGGTT